CCCACACCTGAGCCTCTACTTGAGTCTGCATCTGATTCCACACCTGTCTCTTATACAGCCTGAATGACCAGGTAGGGCCTAATTCAGTGTGATGTAGCAATAACTATTTTTGGGAACTCAATTGATAATGGAGACACGGGATGTCTAAAACATCTCAAAGAGAACCAAAGGCGGACACATTTTAATGCAATTACTATTAGTTCAGCCAAAGTTGGGGACCTCAAAACGTGAATAGTTTCCTGATTTTTGCTAAATGTTCTGGTGAAAGAATGAATCACACTTACTGCGCCCTCGGCAGTGGGCACAGTGACATGAGCGTCTCAAGCTGGGGGGAAGAAACAAGGGCCCTGTCTGTGTTGAGGGAGGACTTCAAGGAGGCCATCTGCAGGGCAGGGGTGAGGGGGCTCCACCAAAGGGACCCTGATTAGCCGGGGACCCAGAACAGTCATGCCCCCCCGGGGACGTGGGTGGAGCCCAGAACCCTTGCCCTGTCACGTGGCTGGATCCTGCAGGTACCACCTGCCCTCGCCCGAGCCCTGAAGCAGGGATCCCACTCTGCAAGCAGCACCCGCTGCATTTCTGGCTTTGAGCTGCCCCACCTGATTTCTATCATCCTTTCTCTGAGTTGAAAAGTCAGAGGACAATTTGTTGACTTTGATTAGAAAACACATCTATCCTATGGTCCAGCTGTTCTCATCAGCAAGTGTAGGCTGATGTGACTTCCCAGGAAATTCTAGAATTTACCACTGTAATCCCAAAGGGGCTGGGTGAGTGTGGGGGGCAGGCAGATCTTCCAGTCCTTCACTGGTCAGGGCGGGGCAAGACTCCAAGCACCAGGGAGGGGGTGGGCTTGCCTCCAGGCAGAGCTGCTGGGGTGCTCACAAGAACCACGTACTTAATGCTGCTCGGGGTCTGAACCGTTCCCTCCGTTTTTATTAGGAGAGTAATATGAACAATCTAACCCCCAGAAATGGCGGGTTCGGGAACTGTGTCTGCCCTCTGCTTCTGGATGTCACTGGGGCATCTGCTGTGTATCTCCCTAGAGTTTCTACTCTACGCTATCCTGGGATCATGACAAAATGGGATTTTGTGTGGTCTTTAAATGTCAAAATAATTCTTTACAGAACATGACTCTCGAACAGCTGAGTCCGCTCCCGCTTCAGCTCTGCCACCAGCTCTGGCCGGCAGTTACTTGAGCCTGTGTGGGATTTTTGACTTTCCCCCGTGACGGCCCGGGGCCCACGTGGCTGTGCCTGGCAGCAGGGAAAGGACAGAAGGATGACGTTATGCTTCTTTCAAACCCAAGAAGAACATCATGAAAGTGACACCTCTAAGTGTATTATAGAAAAGAGGACAGCAGAGACGCAGCTGAAGGGAATTAGAACGACGACCCCTCAGGGGTGTGCAGAGCCCATTCATCCTCCCCATCCACGTCTTCTGTGCAGCTCGGGGATGTGGGGAAGCACAGGGTGGAGCACCAGCCCCTCGATGCCT